TTCATTGTATTCACACTGGAAAATATGGACCCCCCGAGGGCCGGAGAGATGTGCTGGTAATAGTTAATTGTATTCATGGCCCAAATGAAATACAAGTTATAGCAGCAGTTTAAACTGTTGAGCCAAGTGACGAGATCACAGTCACTGTCTGCAGCACAAAGCCACCGTGCTCCCTGCACAGAGAGACTGTGATCCCCCAAGCCTTTTTACTGCCATTGGACACAGACAATATCCTGGAGCACCCGATGGCATTCTGGGTTGAAATCATGGGCCAAGACAAACCCCTTAGAGAGTGCAGCCTGTCAAATAAAGGTAATAACATCTACCTACAAGGGATGGGGGACACAGGGGCCGACATTGCTGTCATTACATGACCTAAATGGCCCCCGAACTGGGAGCTGACTCCTGTCACTGGAGTCATCTCGGGGACTGAAGGAGCCCCCTCTCCATGAGGAGCAATCATACTATCACACAGGGGAACCAGAGGGCCAAACTGCCTCCATCAGGCCATTTGTAGCCAGGGCACCCATCACCCTGTGGCCCAGGGACCGATTGTCCCAGTGGGGAGCTCGGCCTGAAATCCCACCTCCATCCTGGGATTTCCAGCTGGGGCCACTGCAGAGCGCACCACCCCAGCGCTCCCCTGGCAGACTGACACCCCGGGATGGGTGGATCAGGGGCCCCTCTCAACAGAGAAATTATGCACTCTCGAGCTCCTGGTGGAGGAGCAGCTTTCCAAGGGCCACATCACACCCACCAACAGCCCTTGGAACTCCCCTGTCTTTGTTCTTAAAAAGCCTGGTAAGCACAGATGGAGGCTCCTCCATCACCTTTGCAAAATTAACGAGGTCGTTGAGGACACGGGTCCCTTGCAGCCTGGCCTTTCTTCTCCCTCCAAGCTCCCTTCATTCATAGCTCAAGACATTTGTCTAGACACAGAGCAAAATATCTGTCATTTTGAAGTTCATCCTAATGAGACTTCGGAAACAGTCCTTGTATATATAGGCAATGGCTGTGCATGCTTAAAACTGTTTGTGTTGTTGTATTCATGGAAAACACAGTAGTAGATACCAAAATTCATTCAAATTTTTGTGTTTGTAACTTTACCAAAATTACAGGATGTGATTTTTCTTATAAAGCACCAGTTTCCTCTCATTACCTTTTACAATCCAATTACACACTGATTCACAAACTATTGCCTACCCCCATTGGGATGAACCTTCCTTTGGTAAAGCAATTGTTGCTTCATCAGGATTTAATTGAAATTTTAGGAAAAAATCAAAGAAAAATGACAGAAAACCCTGGTACCTGTTCATCTCAATGTGAAAGAAATACATTGTGTCATAGAAATAATAAGAAAAGATGCCGAACACAGGTGGTGGGATACTCTTTCTGGGCAGTCACCTACTGCCACA